TCACTTAAAAAATTATTTTGTTAACAATTATTTTCTCAGTGGTTTATAATATATATAATATATACACCAGCAGAACCTTTGTCGACATCTTAGAAGTCCCTCCTCAGAACACCAAGTTCAAAAATAAAGCCATGTGAGCCAAATACAATTCAATCAGACACCAGATATAATTCACTATATATATATGTGTGTGTATGTATATATATATATGTGCTAGAATTATAAATATTTAGCTACCAATTCTCATCATCCGAGAAGCAGGAAACTATCAGGAATTAGAATTAAGGGCAAGAAAGATAGTGCTACATTCCCAGATATTAGTTATTATAGCATTAAGTATATATTGCTCTGTCTCAGAAAAGAAATCTGCACATAGCTTGTCTGATTTTTTTACCCAAACAATAGCGAAATTGAGAGCTTGGTTAGTTTGTTCGGTCACGTAGGACCTCGAGGTCCATTTCTGTTGGATCAGTTGCCTGAATCTCGTAATGGACACCGTCCAGCTTTCGTCTAAGCCTGTCCTTAGAAGTGGCATATAGCATCTTGGCAGGAATCCGAGAAGATGATGGAGACCTGATCAAAATAATTTAATGCCCAAATAAGAATGTTGATACCACAAGAATCCAGCTATATAGATACAAGAGACCCGGAATATTAATTAGAAAAAGCCATTGGGAACTTTGTTTAAAGGATTTCTAATTGATTGCTTTACTTCAGAAACCATCAAGGATCACATTTATGTAAAGAGTCTGAGCAGCAAACTGGTAGAATACAGAAAGATTTCGAGATCAAACAGGCTTCGGGTATTGAGGCCTCTAAAACAAGCATCTTGAGTAATTAGGTCTCTTCCCCACGTGCATGAGACCAAGCAGCAAACTGGTAGAATACAGAAAGATTTCGAGATCAAACACGCTTCGGGTATTGAGGCCTCTAAAACAAGCATCTTGAATAATTAGGTCTCTTTTCCACATGCACAAGACATGTTAAAATGATAAGAGTATGAAAGAAGTGTTCATTTCATCACTGCTATATCATTATAAATTTCTCTGGACTAAGAGAAGATATCACCCAAGGATTCTGAACGGAGCTTAGTAAAGCAGTATGAAAAGCCAAAGAAAGAACAAATGCGGAAGTAAAGATTCCCAACTTCAATGCAATGATTTAGTTAAAACAGAATGACCAATTCAAGAATACAAATTGTTGAAGTGTCAACTGCATGAAATGAAGGTAGCGAAAGCAAGATAGTAAAAGATATGACTGACCGACACAACCCTTACCCACCTTTAAGTGTATCAGATATGATTCTTCCGTAAATCAACTTTAAGTTAAGTTCGAAGCCATTGAAATGAAGATGAAGGGAAAGAAAGGAAAAGGAAAATGTTTTCCCTTTCCTTGTTTAGGAGTTCCATTAAGTGGAAGAAAATGAAGGTAATTTTGATGGATTCTAGCTTCTAGTTATAAAGACATTAATTTCCCTTCACTCGTTTACACTTGACCGATCGAAGCCTAAGTTATGAGAACATCAAGGGATTAATGGAAAAATTATTAAGAACATACATATGCAAACATACAAAAGGATATGACCCAATCCTTCTAACCTACCTCCATGAACTACTAAATTTCAATGAAAAATGAGAGAAGATTTTTGGAGAAATTAGAAAAAGTTCGGAGAATAGGAGAAGACCTATGGAGTAAAAGGGAGGGAGTATCTTCTAGGTCTGAGATTAAGATGACGCTTGGCTTTGAAAAGACATATAGAAGGAGGTATTATCAATGAGGAGATCCAGTTGCCCTTGCTGCCCATCCACTAGGCAAGCCAGAGGCTCTGTGCAGATGCTCCTTTCTTTCCTTGCTTTTTTTAGCCTAAGCATAGTCTTTTTTTAGATTCTTTTCATTTCCAAGTCTAGAAAATCCCTCACATTGTTTGAAAGTCAGAATGCCTCTCCTTCCATATGTTACAAGAAGTTACAGTTTCTTATCCTATCAAACGGTTCACATTTTTGGGTTAAATGATACACCAAAAACCATGTACTTAAGAATCATCTTTTCGTTTGACACAAAACGATACCAAAAAAAAAAAAATGCTTAACTCTTTGATTTTCTTTTAATTTTGCAAGTATTCATCATACTGATAATACTAGAGAAAACTTGCAAGACGCAAATTCGCATTTTCGAAAGTCCTAAGGTCAATCTCTAAATACAAGAACCAAAACCTGCTAAATTCCTTCCCAACCCATATCAACAAATATCGTTTGTTAACATTTTCAACCATTATTATAAACTTAATTGAGTTTGCACACAAATACTAACCAAGAACCAGCCAATTATCAAAATGCAAAAGAAACAAGAGAATATTATTATACCATGTAACCTTCTAGTTAGATTTAGAGATTGAAGAGCTAACCAGGCAATGAAGAAAATTTTGCTCTTTTGGCAATTCTCAGAAGTCACAAAATCAAAATCATAGACAGCATATCGGCAATCGTTCTCGGGCAAAGAAGCAGTGAAATCATCATAACTCTCAGCAGGACCGCCAGTTTTCTCAACCACAACCTCCTTCTTCTTCTCATCAATCTTGAAAATCACATAGCGGTGAACCTTCTTTCTTTTCAGTTCTAAAAAAGTGTCCTTGCTGTGATCAGCAACGCCCATGCCGGATGTTGCATTTGGCTGCAACCCATTACAAAATTACTTCTTAGCAACAAAAAACTAGCCGCTAAATCTCATTATCACCAAAATTACTGCAACCCATGTAATTTTCTGATAACTTGACAGATGATTATGTACAACAATTATACACAACAACTGAAACAGATAACAAGAAAAGTTGACAAATAGAAAAACAACCCTTTTTAGGAATCGAGAACAGAGACCATAACATTCAAGAAAATTGTAATAAAGATAGGAAAATTACCCGACTTAGTCCTCTGAAAGACATCTCTTGTTATCAAAAGAGCTCCAAACAACAAATGCAAAAAGCAAACCAAATCAAAAGAAAAACAAAAGCAGAGCTTCTCTGAAGAACTGCTATGCAAAACGAAAGTGAGGAAATGATCTAAACAAATAGCAGATATAATATACCAATACAGCCAAGAGATTAAAAAAAATATTTTTGTTTATATTTAAATTATTCTTTATGAACCGTTTGATTCTCTGAAGTGAACCAGACAAGGAAGGTGAGTAAATGGGACGGTGCGTTGTATTAACGCTTCGTCACCTTTTTCAAAAGCAGAGGCTGACCAGAGAATTATTTTTTAACAGTTATTAGTGGGACCCACTTTGCCATGTCACCATCAAAGTGGGGCCGACATGCGCTCTGTAGAACGTTAACGAGTCGCCACGTACTGTACAGCTGAGCTTCAAGTTTAAGCTCAATATTTTGGAATATTGGGCCGGGCCGGGGGCTACGATAGTGACGTGGCGAAGTTTCATTGGCTGGTGTCAAACGTAATGACAAGACATCATCGTACGGGATCCGACCTTGGGGATTAACGTTAATCTTCGAAGTAGAAATTAAAAAACCATCAAACAGCGTCTTGTAATCAGAGATTGGAGTGAGGTAGTTAGGGTTTTAGGTTATATCACTGGACAATTTCAATAATTTTCCCGCCGAGTATGGATACAGAAGGTACCCGTTGAAATAACTTTTTCTTTTTCTTTTTTTAAATTTCTGGTTTCGAATTTCTCTTTGCCGTATGTTCCTTGTTGGGTTTAATTTTATTTTATTTTTCTTTTAGGGCAAAGGGGCTCTACGAACCCATCTGCAATGCTGGCTTCTCTTCTTGGCAGGAGAGCCAAGCTTCAAGAAGAGCTTCGAAGCATCGAAAGACAAGTGAGTTTTTCTTTCAAAATCTTGGATAATTCTTGGGTTTTCTTTTAATTGCGAGCTTGCTTTTTCATGTTTTATTTTCTTTATTCTCTTGTTTTATGGGTTTGAGGGTTTGAAATTGATTAATTAATTCAGCTTTAGACTGTTCGTTTGAAATTTTAGACGGCTAATACAGTCTACTAGGACCCAATTGTTTGAAATTCTTTATTTAAATTCTGTTTTTGTTTTTCTGGCAAGTTCATAAGTTTATAAGCTTTAGTATAAAAGAATGGTGTATGATGGCAATTGAACCAAGGAAGCAAATTAATTTCTCTAAATTTATTTATTTTTTATTTTTTTTTTCCCCCTTTTGTTTTTGTATGTCAGAGCATGTAAATTACAATGAATTCAGGCATTGCCTTGGTGGATTTAATTCTGGGTTTCTCTTCTTCGGCTTTTACTGGAAATATGGTAAGGAGGCTGTTTGTTGAATTTTCATTTAGACACTTATGAGAATTTTCGCAAACAGCCTCCTTATGATATTTCCAGTAAACACTGAAGAAGAAGAACCCAGAGAATTTTAGCTTAGGCACCAAGGAAGTGGTATGCTACCCATAGTTTATCTTGGTGATAGTTGAATTTATCAATTTGGGCAAAGGCACAGCTTCAAGTTCCCCTTTCCTCATTTTTTCATATAAAAAACAAGGAAGAATGATATTCCCTGGTCATGTATATATCAATTATTATCTCTATTGCAAGCTCACGACGAATGTAAGCTCACCAGGAATGTAACTGTTAGAACTTGTAGATACGGTGCAATACTTTGTGACTCAATGAGCCGGTGAATAATAAAAAAATGAAGCTATTAACTTACTACGTCGTTTATTCTGATTGTAAGGCTGAAGCTTTTTGTGCTGTATTAAATTGCTTTTGTTACAGGTCTATGATATGGAGACGAGTTATTTACAAGATCCTAGCCAATGCGGCAATGTATTGAAAGGTTTTGAGGGGTTCCTTTCTTCATCTAAGAACACTGCACTGTATGCGGTTTTAATTCTGTTCTTCTTGCATTTTTGTTTGGATTGGAACAATTTCTGCTTTGGATCTCTTCACCTTGTGCTATTCCTGATTAATCTTTTCTTGACAGGGTACTTGTGTGGTGATTTTGTTTGTTTCTTTGTTGTGTCTCCTTTATCTGTCATGAGATCATGAGGGGCAACAGGGATCTTATATAGAAATTGCGAGAAAGCTTTATTATAAAAAGAAACAAGTACAAATAGTCGATTAATAAGTAGTCTGCTGATCCTTATGCTTCTAATTCTTCTATTTAACCTGCTGCCTTGTTTTCAATAGTTTACTTCAATGTTTTACACTTAAAAAAGATCTAGGAAGCTTCAATCTTTCTAGTTCTAGCACAGATACATCCGGTTGTACCATTTGCATCAGATAAGCAACTCTAAGCATCACCACTCTAGTATCCGCATTTGCTAACACAAAAAGTGGGTGTTATTAGGTTTTTAAATGCAGAAAATAAGCACCATAATTCTAACCTTTTTTATTCTTATTTTCTTTCTATCTAACTAATTTACATAATTAACATGTTGGTATCTTCTTAAATTAACACTGTATACATAAAACAATCTAAGTGAAAAAATTTGTAATAAATATATACATTTTTTTAATTTTTCTTTAATAAAACAGCTGCTTATTTTTTTTGCAACAAACACTTTATTGAACTGTGTAACTATTTATTTTCAATAAAAATTTTCATGCTTTAATAAGTTAAAGCACATTATTGCCTTTAATAACATTTCTTTTAGTAATCCAGACACCATAATGGTAACATTCAGTTCATATTATTTCCATAGGTTATGGTGGAATAAACTAGTGCAGTGGTTTGCACAAGTTGTACCTGAACTTTCCCTTTTTGTTGTTTATCTACTATTCTCCATTTGCAATGAGAATTAAATTTTTATTTGTATTGACCTAAAAGTTGAAATAGACCTATGGATTTTGATATTCTAATATCAATATATTCTAAACATGTTTTAAGAATTGCCAAATAAACTCATGTAAGTGCTAAAAAAAGTAAGTTGGGTCATAGTACTGTTTGCTTTCAATGCTCCGAGCACTGTCGTTCTACCTCCTCATACTCCTAAAAGAGTAAAGGTTGTTTGTAGTAATGTTTGCTTTAAATGCTCCGAACACTGTCCTTCTACCTCCTCATACTCCTAAAAGAGTAAAGGTTGTTTGTAGTAATGTTTGCTTTAAATGCTCCGAGCACTGTCCTTCTACATCCTCATACTCCTTAAATAGTAATTCTCTTTTGTAAATTTGTTGCTATATCTGTAGGATATTGGTTTTTTTTTTTTGAATTACCATACATGGGGATAAATTATTTACTGGAGTGATTTAATAGTTGTTTGTCTCTGGATAACGTTGAAATATACCTCATTCTAAATATACATTTTTGGATATATGGATTCAGTCTTCATTTGAAGGTTTAAGGAACAATGCTTTCTGGACCACATTCATTGTGCTTGCTAAATTCCTATTTTAAAAATATTTTAGACTGTAAACATCAATTCATACAATAAGGTGGATTTAACTGTTCTTGAGATTGTCAAATTCCTCATATAGTAGCATCCAGGCTTTATTTTTGCTGCATCTTGTGCTTACATAGTTGTAAAGCATCCAAAACTTGTTGATGCAGCTTGAAGCGGTCTAGGAAGTTCCAGCCTGAAGATAGGCTTTTCTCGTTATCTTCAGTTACCTCTCCTGCAGTATGTACTGTAAAAACTAACTATTGTGTTACAATGGCTCCTGATGCAAACTTTTTCTTTTTTTTTTTGTTTATACGGGTTTATTTTCGCTTTCTGTACCATATAAATAGTAATTTCATTCATATATGAGTAAAATATGACATCATATTTTCGTGGCTTGAAAGTAGATATTAAGATTTACTATTTTGGAGCTAATTGTATTTGCTTTCTCCTCAGCAGCATTTATAATTCTTGAAGTAACTATACTTTTATTTGTAATGGTTGATGAAGGAACAGATTAGACGTTCTGTTATTACGATTGTGTATGAAGAAGGAAAGGAATAAGATCATTACGATTGTGTATGAAGAAGGAAAGGAATGGAATGATCTTACTTTTGTAATGTTGTTGTAGTTTGAAACTTATCTAATTTTTGGTTAAGCTGAAACTTCTAATTAATTATAGTAAACACTAGCCTTGTAAATTGAATGAAGATTATGTTAAAATAGCTTGCTTCCATTGGTCTATGATTGCAGTTCTTGTGCTCTAATTCCGGGTTCAAGGCTTTTTTCTTAAAAAAAAGAATTTTTTAGTATTTTTATTTTATTTTGTCAGGCCGAGGAACTTGCAGCCGGAAGAGATGGTAAGCCCATATTTACTGAAATGCAGACAACTTTTCTTGTCTAAGGTCTTAAGATTTTCCTTACTTGATATATGATGTCAGATGGCAAAGCAGACTTTGGCGTAGGTCGGTCAAAGGGTGGAGGTATATATGCAAATGGACAGTAAGTACCATGCTATCTGTTTTCGTTTCTTAACTTTGTATCGGAAAAGGTCTGAGAATTGTAATAGATGATTGAAAACAAGGGTTGTGATTATAACAGATGACTGAAAGCAATGGCCGGTGATGTAATATATCCTATTTGCATTAGATACATATGATTATTTGAATTATTTTCAGGGGAAAACCAAAGAAGGGAAGAGCTGGGCCGAGAGATGCAAAGAGGATCAGGCATGAACCTGATTATGATTACGATGATGATCCTGATGTTACGTTGTGATTGTCCCGGCATTCGATCATTGAACTTTTTTTTCTCTCTTCCCTCAAAATATCAATCATGCCAGCTTTGGAAGTGGAAACAGAGGCAAGCCAAAAGCCTTACAGAGCATTGGTTTAGTGCTATGCTATTGTTTGTTGTTTACAGCATGGCTATTGCTGTAGATACTCCATTGTCATGCATTCATCAGTGTCTACTTATATATATATATATATAGACTCTTCTGCTTTGGGGGTTACTCTAAAACCCAAAACTATAACAATGAAGCAAATTCTTGGTTTTCTTTGTTGCTGTTTCTAGCTATTGTTGATGACTTGGATGCAGAAACTCGTAAAAAGAAATGAACGTATAAATTATTCATCTACGGATTATCACTATGTTTACGAGTGTAACAAGCTCGGTATCGGAAGAGAGTAATAAAGAAAATTAATTTTTATTTACATGTAATAACTTGGGTAAAATTGGTCAAATTTATTTTTTAAAAATATATTATCTTTATGAGAATAATAAGAAAAAAAATAACTAATTTTTTATTTGAACATGATTTTTCTTTTTGATTTCTTACTCGTGTGTATGGGAATTTATTTTTTTTTCAAAATTTGTATAATTTTAGACCTGAAGATAAGTGATAAAGGATGAATATCCAACAAATGAGACGGCGTCGTTTTGGAAGTAAGAGTTACTCCACCCCCTTTCTTTGGACAACAAAGAGGCGCCATCCACCCCATTCTTACGGCGGAGAACCCGGGGGGAAGTTCAGCTGTGTTCTTACAAATGAAGTCGTTGATGGTACGGTGCCGTTTCTCTCGTCGTCTTCGCTTTATTTATTTATTTATTTGTGTGTGGATTTTCTGCTTATTTAATTTAATTTGAGTAGAA